AAGTTGTTGTTCTGATTTTTTGGGAGCAAAATCGGTGTTTTTGGTGGGTGTTTTCATATTTTCGAAATATGGGTTTGCGGGTTGGAAAATTTCCGGTTTTTGGCATTTAGATAGCGTTTTTCTTCTTGATTTGATCATGTAAGGGCCCGGTGTTTTGGGCGTATTGTTTCTGTATTGAGTCTGTAAGTCCAGGTCGATCGAAAGTTGTTCGTGGCGTCGAATTTGGAGAAAAATTACAGAAAACAGCGAAGAAGACGAAGCAGACTGCGGAGATAGCATCGTTGCACTATGCAGCAGCGACATGGCTCTGCAGGACAGCACACAGCGTCACGACGCTGCACTGTAGTGCCGCGGCGCTACTGCTGCGGCATTTTGCTGCAGCAGTGCCGTGACACTGTCCTTAGGCGCCGGGGCACTGTTCTAGGTGTTTTTTGGCGCGTTTCCGTGGCTCCGATTCGCGGTTCGAGGGCGGTTGCAGTCGTTTTCTTATTTTTGTATTATTTGCTTTCTTAGGGTGCCAAAAACCGTTCCAACTTTGCTATTTAATTATCTTATGCAGTATGAATGTATATTTTAATTAAAAGCATATTGCATATTGTATGCCATATAGTTTTAAAATCTCACCATAGGTTACATGCATAATATCTATGTTTTGATATATAGTATGTATGTATGGTCATGCATCATATAGTTATAAATGTTATAATGTATGAATGCATGTTTAATTTTCATAATTAATATAAGTGTTGTATTAATTAGATGAAAATAAAGTTGCATTGAGCATGACATTACTTTGGTTAATAAAATTGTTATATTAATGTATGCTTACAATGCATGATTATAGTTTTAATTTCTTAAATTTTATAAGAGTTATAAAATGTGATAGAAAGAAATTAAAATCTATAATAAAGAATTGCACGCAAACATAGGGTCTAAGTTAATTAATTTTAAAGGGGTTTAAAATTAATTAGACCTTAGGTTATATCTTCTAATATGATTAGGGGGTAGTCTTTTATTTTATTTTAACTAGGTTTAAAATGAAATGATAAAAGACTAAATATAAAATATTGCCTATAAGGGAACTTTGTCTAAGGAAGGTTCTGTCTAGGTTGGGGTATTTAAGCTGACCGTAAGGGAACACCTCTACCTGGGAACCGACCTGGGGGTTAAATTAGTCAATATTTTATATACATGCAATAATGTCGTTGGTTTATTAAAGTGTTTAATGAACTAAAGCATTATTGTACAACTACCAATATAAGAGTTATATTGGGCCGACTAAAAATTCACTTAGGTAATTTCATTTAGCCGGAATTTATCTAAGTAATATACCCTAGTCTTAGAATACTAAGTGGGAGCAAAAGAGAATATGTAATATACTGCGTATATATTTGATATACAAAGTATATATAACATATTTTTCTCTCTTTCTCACGTTCTCTTTTATATTCACACTGTGAGTTCCATGCTCGGCCTCGTGTCGCCCTGGGCACGGCCTCACTACGGAAGGTGTTTGCATGGTTCAATATCGAGGTGCATGGAGATAGTATTCATAGTAAGTGGGAGAAGGACGTATGACAATACATCCTGCGGTCTCCGCCATTAGTTTGCACCGTGAGGTTTCATACATGACCTGCGTGTCGTCCTGGAGCGACCATCCCTACGGAGGGTTCACTGTATGGAATCAAAACCAAGGCAAACTCCAGAAATGGATAAGGGTTTCTTAGGTTTTGCTCCAATATTTTCTGTAACGCCCCCAAATTCACTACAAGGAATGAGGTACCGTTGCCATAACTATTCACCCCTTTCTTTTCATTAATGAAACATAAGATGGAAGAAAACTCGTGGGGTTTCGGTCACAACAAAAAAAACCTGGAACACATATTGGCCTCAATGGCTAATAACCCAAATAAAGAAAAGGACCGGATCCTAGAAAACCCACAATTTGCCTCAGTGGCTAATAAACCAATTAAAGAAAGTTACAATTATTTGTTTCCACAATTCAATAACTCGCCCTGGTTTTAAACAATAATAATGAATCCGGACAGCTAACAGCTCAGTAAAAGAACAAGTATGAAATAAAAAAAACAAAAAAAACGTCCCATGAGTCAACAAAATCTGATACCGCTAGCACTAAGTTTCTAATGCGAAGGGCAAGGAAATCTCAGTCCAACTATCCTAAACAAAACATAACTAGTGGTCCCTCCTCGGTCAAGCCTCCTCCACGTCATCACCACGGCCGAGGGTCCTGTTCACACCTGAAACCAACAACATAGGGGGGGTGAGTATATAAAATACTCCGTAAGTAGCCCTTACCAAACAGACACCAAACAGCATGCTCACAATCACATCGACATCATACTCAACAATTTAAGGAATAAGCATCAAGAAACTAATAACAGTAAAGTGGCCTCTCGACACTCCAACCAACTTTAGAACTCTCGTGACTTTGATTTGCACGACCTGTTAGCCCCTAACCCTTTCAACATACAACTCGTACTAAACCTTGAGTTAGTACTCCAAGTCTAACTCTTCGAGGCGCATCGGCCGTTGACATTTATTCCCAAGGTACCGACATCCCTCTACAGAAGCTTGGTGTTCGACCTTGCTATTTATCCCCAAGGTCTTGGACTATGCACCGGTCCTTGACATTTATTCCCAAGGTACCGACATCTGCTCAACGTATTGGTTCTTGGCCTCTAACCCATATAAAACCAAAGCTAGTCTCAATTAGACTCATCGTGCCGACCCCCGACCCTTTGTACCTGGAGCCTCGACACTCATCTCAACCAAAAGTGGTGTATCGACCCCTGACCTTTTGTACCCGGAGCATCGACACCCCATAGAGACGTATCAGACCCCGACTCTTTACTCACGGGGCTTAACCCTCATTCAACATCCTACCCGAACCAAACAACACCGACGTCCCCACCCATCGCTTCCAACAGGGGTTCCAAC